TTATAATGTAATAATGTACTCAAAGGTGACTTATATTGAACTTCTTTTGGTTGAGGACATTGACCGAATCTTTGCATATAATATTGAAGTGTTAGGTGCGAGGAATTGCACCAGCGTTTTAATGAATATGATTACAATAGGGACATTTTTAACATGAAAATAATTAATTATCTGCGCACAATTTCGTTGGTCATTTATAAGAAGAATAAATTAAACCAAAGAAATTGTTATTAATTTATTATGTAATTGTTGCATGCCTTTATTTGAAACCAATAACAATAATTACGTTCTAAGTCGAATGTGAACGTAGGTTACACAGGTGCTTTAATTAAATTGAAATCGGCAACTGAAAATCGATACACTCATATAGGTGTAATTTATCTATGGCAATAATGTAAGCAAAAAAAGGATATTTTTGACTTCGATTTACATGGTGTAACAGCTGTCTGACTATTAATTCTTGTTAACGGTATATCGTTCCTATTAGGTGTCAGAAATAGGACTTAGGTATATTATGTTCATGAGGAATTAAGAAATATGGTAAATGATAATCGAAAATTGCATTAATAACTATTTGTAATACAGATGTCGAAAACACCGGATTAAGTTACTACTGACGGTTAGTATCTGGTTAATTTTTCATAATCATATTTTTTTGATAGGATTTGAGAAGATGCTTAGATTTATTTCTACTTTTCATAACCTTAATTATCCTACGTCCCAACCCTTTCTAAACCTTTCACCTTCTTTATGTGACCATCTACTTTCCCATTTCTTTCTCTGTCTCATCGTCCTTTTTTTTTTGTTAAAAGTTAACTCAGTAATTTAACTAATTCTTCATATTAAAATATGTATGTATATAAGGTTTTCAGACAGAACTTTTTCAATTAATGTTATAACTTCAGAAGCAGTCAAGATATTTTATAATTATGTATAGTTATGTTGCAGTTACATGCCTCAGTGTTGTAGTTTTCTTTTGTAACTTATTTTTAAATTTAATAAGATAGTTCTTTTTTGCGTAGTTTTTCAAAAATATAGACGTTAAATGAGTTTACTTCAGTCCCTGAAGAAGGTAACTTTGTTACCGAAAAGTGCTTCGGACAACTACAGTGTCGTGTTTTGGCGTTGGGGTTTTGAGCTTTTCTGTTTGTTCTACAACAACCGCCAAAGTTTTTCCAATCTTCATATTACGTTAAATGAGATTTTAAGAATTTGGGAAAAAGTGATGCGGTGTTTTCGTCAGGGCTTTTTGGCCGTGGTCCGTGGAATTTTACTTTTTCAAACGTTTCGTCGTTCTTTGCTAATGGCATCTTCAGTGGTGACTGGGTAGGTGCTGAGTCGTAACTGATGATCAAAAAGCCAGGAAGAAAACACTGCATCGATATACGCCGGCCGTGAAAGCCTAAGAACTATGGGAAAAGCGTTTGAATTTTTTTAACCAGGCAAATATGTAACTTTCAAAAATAGAAAGATCTTTATAATCAAATATTTTATTAATATGAGTCGGTTCTATTTAGCGTATTATAATAGAGAGTTAAATTCACGTATCAACTTGATGAATGTTCTGAAATCAAATTAAAATTGAACATCGGTTATATGAAGAAGTAAAAAAGATGAAAGGAAGAAGTTTCTACGAGGCTTAGCTTACTAGTAATATACGAGGGTGGATTGATAAGTTTCCGGCCTAACCAAGAGATGACGCCACTAGGCCTACCTTGAGGTGACATTCTATAGTACCATCCTTGGATAGCTTGTAGCTATAGTTTCAGCCCGATCTCCTTGCTAGTGTAGGTTTGACAGC